GCACATTAATCTTAATGGGGAATTATCAAAGTTTTGTTTTTGAAATATTTGAGGTAAACTCTGGCCATCGAGTGTTCTAACTTTTCTGATAGGGCAGGTGCACTCAGCGGTCTTTTAATCTCTCAGTGTGTGTTATAATGACAAATGGCTGTAGATCCCATAATGTCCATACGTAAACTTAGGTAAGTACAACCTAAGTATCATCATCATGTTCAAATATTGTTTGCGCAGTGTGGATATTGTGTAATGACAGTCAGCCAGGGTGAAACATTATAATTACTTTCTTTCCTTACCAGTTACAAATATCAATAACTCAATAGTATCCAATCAAAGAAACAGTTGAAAGCTTTATACTTTGATATTAACTCTTTCTGCACGGGCATCCTTTACTGTGCATGTCACGAGGTTTTTGAGACTTACATTCAAAATTTTATGAAACTATTTTTTGTTTATGTTATACCAATTAGTATAGCATAAAAGCATAGCTAATAATCCGTATTTTAATGGTATATAAGTTTAAGTTCTTAATTTTATGAACTAATATTTAAAAAATCCTGAATTTCCTCTACTGTGACACATTTTTTTGGGGCATCCCTTCTTCTCTATTTTATTCAGCTCCCCTCCAATAAGTACGAACCTTAACGTAAATTACTCACTATAAAATTATCATTGCTCAGAGAAACCATAATTTTTATAGCCCTTAGTTTTGTTTGATTATAGAGCCATCAAATGAAAAGTCAGACCCCTCTTGCCAAACCCACCTGTCTCATCCTCTCTTTCAGGATTTGTTAATAGTTCTCTCTTATATTTAATTCTGTGTTATGTATAACCAACAGAAAGTCAGAGTTGGAAGGATATATGCCTATCTCTTGTACTTCTATCTCCATTTTCTTGACAATTTCATGCCATAGTTCCCTTCTGGTTGACACAACTGTGATTTCTCTTTTTATTGTGATTTTATTGAAACATATAATTTTCAGTGATTTAATTCAATCTAGTGAGTGATATCCCATTTTCCAACTGTTTTATTACATTATTCATTCAGAGCCATAATAAAAGTAACTTGCTGCAACATGTCGCACACAATTTCTGTTTTTAAAATAATTACAAGTTTGTGAGAAATAAAAGAAAAAATGTTTTAACACAAAAGAGCAGGGGAGAGGTGAACCATTAATTTTGTTTATCCCTTTGAACAATTATGAGTGAAATGAAAGTCGATATACTTGTGTGCTTCACATTCACAGATGTTCCAGGTGATATACACAATATGAAAGTCTTATTCTTGTCACCAACGACCATTTTGCTTTATAACAAACGAGGAATTACATATGAACACTTGATTTACTACACTTTTAAATTTTATATATGTAAGTAATGTATTTAGTGTAAATATTTGGAATTTTTTCCAATAATTCAAAATCATTAGTACTAGTTTTTTTTTTTTATATGTATAGTGAATATATATAGTTTCCAAAACATACTTACCTCCCCTCACACTGCAGGTATCACTTGACTGCTAGGGTTTCTTTATTTTTGTCCATCTAAGCATTGGTCTGATTTTTTTTCTTGCTTTCTCCAACCTTTTATTCCCCACTTAACTGCTTTTGGTGATACGTCTCATGATACTATCCACCTACGTCAATGCATCCTCTATCTTGGTACTCTATACAAGCACCTCCTTCAGATAATATTTTTACTTTTTCTCATCAGAGTGTTCAATAGTGGGTTTCTCTGTAGTATGATTGTTTGAGATACTTTAAGTGTTCTTTGTGTTACCTATTTGATTTTCATAGAAAAAATTTGTTTGGCAAGCTGATTTTTGGCATGCATTCCTAGACTAATGTATCCGGCACAGAGGCTAATCAAGTTTCTCCTATCCCTCCTCTGATATCTAGTATTGCTCATGAATCGGGGGAGGGGGTTGCTTTCTGTTGTCTGTGACCCTATCTGTAGTGAGATAGAGATACACATTCGGACTAGTGGTGTTTCTCGGGGTGGGGGGGGGGAGTCTGAGGCTGCACTTGCAGGCAATCCTGATAATTTTGGGGAGTATTTAGAATTGGCTTTTCATGACGTCAACTTGGATCAGCTACCTCTGGTTCCTTTTCTTCTGTTGGTACATCGATTGTGTGATGTTTTGAGTCTTTTCTCGGTTGCTTTTGAGTCTAATCATTCATTGATGGTGAAAAGGTCTGAGGGTGAGTACTTAGTTCTTCCATCCCCTGATATTGCAGTTCATGCAGGGAGGTTTACTACTCAGTTATGTGAAGGTACATTTATGTCTTGTTTCCCACGTTTCTAAGAACAACATGCCTTCATCTACCATTGCTAGTGGAAGCATATTTAAACTCTTAGATAACAGACTTGCTCCTGGAAATGTGGGGTTCCAGAACGGAGTCTGTGGTCAACCTGAAGAGATCACAAATTTCTAGGATTCATCTGACCCTACCCATGATGCTGAGATACTTATCATCCCTACACCTTTTTTTAGGAAGCATCTCGGCAATCACCACATCACTTTGATGGCAAGTTGCAACCATCATTAGCATCCTTCTTGGTTTGAGTGTCAGCTTCTTCACTTTTCCTAGTCTCTTGACTGATATGTTGGATAGAGATGAGTTATTGCAGGACATTCGTCTACCTGCTGCAGCCCTCCATAAGTTACGTGAGGCCTTTTTAAAACCTTTGATTTTTGTGTGCATTCCAGAGTCTTTGGATTCAAGGGTTGATGTTGCCTATCTGCATTAATCTCTGTTGTCATTGGCTTCCCGAGTTTCCTCAGCTCCTACAGGGGTTAACAGTTCTGCCCCTATTTGAGTGTAGCAACCCCCAACATCGACCTCTCAGTCCACGGGCACCCAGAATAGATTCCGCCCATATCCATGACATTCCTTCATTCGGTCAGAACTCTGCAAGTGGCGGCGGTTATGACTACCGTATGCTTTCAAGGTCTGTGAGGGCTCAACTCCAAGATTTTCTGGATATGTGAAAAACATTTACTACAGATTCATAGGTACTACAAGTCTTGCATCAGGATTAGTCATTTAGTTCACACCTCCACCACCATTATCCCCCCAACCTGTAGTGCTTCCACTTCCCACAGATCCTCAGTTTTCAGAACTTTGTTCCATGGCTCTCAGAGATTTGTTGGTCAAGGGGGCAGTGGAAAGAGTTATTCCAGTTCTTCCTTGATTTTATTCCCATCTGTTTGTTGTGCCCAAGAAGATGAGAGATTGTCATCCGGTCATCGATTTTTCTCGTCTAAGTCAATTCCTAGACTCTCCAAACTCACAATAAAGTCATTCCTCACTTTGCATTGGTATTTTTCACCAGGACTGTGAATGACTTAGTTCGATGTTGCCAATGCTTATCTGCACCTTCCCATAGCAGATTTGTCCTGCCACTATCTGCATTTTGTGCACAAGGATCTGGTGCTGCAGTTCGGGGCTCTACTCTTCGGACTAGCATCGGCTACATATGTTCTGTCCAATCATCAGTTGGCATATGTGACACCCAGATACTGCTTTCTAAAGCAACGAAGGCAGGATTTCTTATCAGAGCCAAGACACCTCTTCTCACTCCAACACAATATATCGTCCATCTGGGTGTCTTTTTCAACAAGTATCTCAGTCGAGCTCAGCCAACTCCCATCCAGCTTCATGCTATGGTACAGACAGTCTAACTTTTATGCCTCTTTTTCCCATGGTTCTTTATCTTTTGAGGATGTGGGCATCACTCAAATCCCTCCTTCCTTTAGAATGAGTGCACAAGTGATCCCTTTAGTGGTCTCTACATGACCAATGGATCATGAACAGCGATCCACTGGATTTTCGACTACCTCCTGTAGCTATCCACTAGATTATACAGAAGGGTGGGTATTTTCATTACTACTCTCATCTCTTCTTTCCTTTCCAGGGTCCCTTACCTCTTTTTTCACAGGATCCTGCCTTATGGCATGTGTTATCCAGTCAGGTGTGCTTTTATCAAACCAAATCTGCACTAGCAACCACTTACACAATATACTTTATCTAAGTTGCAACAGGATCTGTAGAAATGAGGTGTTCTATAAGACAAACTAGAGGCAGACCAGGTAGTATTACTGTACTATGCTGGACCACCACTCATGGACTATCATGAGTAAAGCATAAGGGGATCCTGCCTGTTCCTGCCAATCAGTAGATTGAATAAATCAGGGTAGGTTTGCTTTTATAAATTTAGGGACCTTGGTTCACCTATTGCACTATTTCCAGAGCATTGTTCCTCAGGGTTCCCCAACATGCATTACCCCCCAGATTCTACTAGTGGAGCTAGATAGTCCTTACCACACCCAGTTTCCAGTCACTAGAGTGATGGACAGAGGCTTTTCCTCCAGATTGTTAAAGTGACTTTCCTCCACTCTTGGAGATAATGGCAAAATTGGGGGCCCTCCTACATGGGTCCATAGATGTTTTTTCCCATATGTCAGTATACACTGCATCTTTTGCACAAACACAGGCATACATTGCAAGGAATTCTTTTGTAGGTAATAAAGAGTGAAAAGCATTCTCATTTTAAGATTTGTGTTTATATGCATAACATAAACACATGAAGTAAGTGCATGCTCTTTACTAGGGCATTTTACATACAAAATCTTAAAAAAGGAAAGATATTTGTAAAAATATTGAAGTTTATTCTAAAGTCAAGTAAAAATGGCTAGTTTTAAATTTAAAGTATTAATAACATAATGAAAAAGGTTGGAGTGCATTAAAATTTTGTCTTCATTTTTGATGAAAGATAATTAAATTTAAACTTTTTGAATGAGATCAAGCATTCATTCTTAACTAAAATAGTCCAATTATTGTATATTATTCTTATAATGAGTTTTATTTTATATGTGAGGTAAGTTCATTGAAATTTTAAAATTGTAGTGACAATTTCAAAGACTTCTAATACCATTTCGTATGTTTTTTTGCTTTTTATGTGTATGGTTTATAGTAATACATATAATGTTCTTCTTGTAGTACAGGGACTGGTGTAAGGCTTTGGATCAAGGTCAGGTACCACCTGAAGCTTTAAAGATGCTAACGGAAGAGGTTGAAACTAAAAGCATTGAGTGTAGAAAGGATGTTGCAAAAGAAACTTGAACTAGTTACTTATTTTCCATACATCTAGTTATGTTCAAGTTAGTTAAAACATACTATGTGTACTAGATATAATAAATAATGAAAATCAATTTCGGTACAGCATACACATGAAGAAAAAGCAGTTAGCAAAAAAATTTTGACATTTAGAAAAATATACATTTCAAAGAATCAACTCAAAAATAGGTCAGTTCAAGAATAAGTGTAATTAATTATTATAAAACTTCAAATTAAGAACTTATCAAGGCTAAAGTTAGATTACAGAAATGTATTAGAAAATAAAACACAAAACAGATAGGTGATAACTTTTTCACAATTTCTGTAGACAGAACTTAAAGAGTCACTTAAGTGAGTTTGGGATAGGAAAGCAACTTAACCCGAGTGTTTTGGGTATATATATATATGTGTGTGTCTAACAAGGTAATAAGTGAAGTGTTCTGCAATTTTAATAGTTATTTTTGTTTTTTAGCTATTTCATTACTATATTATAATGTATAATTTTTATTTTATCTGTAATATCTTGAAAACCTGCTTCCAGTATTGTCTTTGTTGACTATTTTTATTGTTATATGTCAAACCAAGCTCTTGTACATATAGTTTTTATGAAAAAAATAGAAAACCTATTGTACAAATATGCTGAATAATTATCAAAAAGCTTTTAACATGTACCAGGTTAAGGCATATTGATTTTACACTGATGAAATGTTTAAATACTGTACATACATATATATATATATGTGTGTTTTGATAGTTCTATAATGAATCATTTCTAGAAGTACCTAAGACTTCAGCTTTGACTGGAAATTGTTACCATTAATATATTTTTACATAGAGGTTTTACAAAATTTAGGTACACTAAGGATGAGTTTAAGTGGAAAAGGTACTTAGTGACGTTTTGAATAATAAAGTTCACTGTGTTTGTATAGTTTATTTAAATTTTTTTAGGTGATAATTTATTTTTAAAATTTTTGTATCTTGGGGAAAAAAAATTAAACTAATTACTTTAATAACTCGACATGTTTTTTTTTTCCCAACAATTGTAGTAGTTTTGTTATATCGGTCCCATTTAAACCACCAGAGTATAATGAAAATTATTCTTCATTTCGGTATTCTTTATTTGTTCTCCTCCATTTTTAGCAATCTATATCAGGTGTTTGTTGGCCACTTCAAAGATGGTCTGCATTCTAATTATTACTTATGTAACCCTTTTTGATTTTCATATTCCTTGCATTTAAAATATCTTGTCCTTACCATTTATTAGATGAATGTTTGTTTTTATACAGTTCACTGGGGACATTTATATAGAATTATGTTAAAGAGATATTCATTTCTCCTCAAATCTTCGACCTACTATTGATCAGTGTTTTATTTAATTTTTCTGCTTCGTTTGTTAAATGTGGGGGATACCATTACTGTTTTTGCTTAATTTACTTTTACAGCTTCATAAATTCCATTAATTAATTTCGATGAGTTATTTAACAACCTTTAAGTATTCATATCTTGTAATTTGAACAGTTACACTTTTTTCTTGTATAAGAATTAGGCAAAAACAGCCTAGAACACCCTCAGAAACCAACTTGAAAGATTTGCATTTTCTACAAGAGGGCATTCCATAGATAGTCTGTTTTACACCAGATTTATACAAATTTTTGTTTCTGTTTACTCTTAGTATTAAAATATTATAAAAGTAAATATATGATGGAGTTTTTTAATCTTTATAACCATTAAGGTAATATGCAAAAATGTTATACCATGTGCATGTAGTTTTTTTTTCTTGTTTCATTTTTGAGCATTTCACTTCAGCTTTGGATTTGTTTTGATTCATTTGTAACAGGACTTCATAGGTAGCATAACTAAGAGTATTTCTGTTAAATATATGCAGTTTACTGAAATCTGGGAAATTCATAGTTTTAACTTAGTGGTCTGACCTATACTGTTCCACATACATACTATTACTTTGTTTTAACATGGAATACAACATGATACAGTATATGATTTTCATGCAGCAAGAAATGTAATTAAAACTATACATTAGAAATATAGCAAATAAGCCAGATCTGTTCATGTGTCACTTTTTCTTTCTTTTTCACTTCACAAAGTGCAGTTAAATGGCATATGATGTATTACTCTTTACAGTTTCATTCTGTACTTGTTATTACAAATACAAAACTTTACTGTTGTTCAAGCTTTTGCCAGAGGATAAACCTGCACAATTTGTAAAAAATGGTAGCATAAACTGCGTGATTTTTTAAATATGTAAATATAAACTTGTAATTCAAACCAATAAAACTATTTCAGATTTTAAAGGACAACTTACTCCTAGGATTGTTTATTTGTTCAGTAGACTGATGAAGGATTCTTAAAAAGATAAACTAATATACTAATAATAATAAACTAATAAGGTGTTAACTTATTTAAACCAACAGTAGTTGGAATTATGAGATCTGTATCGACGTGTTTACAGAATACGTACAGGATATAACATTATAAAGCGAGTACTAATAATTATTGAAAGTTTTTGTTGATTTTCTTCATTTGAGCAGCTACTTTATGTACAATAATGTTATAATTTGAATTTTTATGAGAGTTTCTATGTACTATTTTACATTGATTTACAATAGTTTGCTGTAGGGTAAATAAGATTTTTTATAAGAGTGGTGGACTTGAAGCTGTAAATATAAGAACTGTTATTTATGACATACAAGTACTGTGTAGTTGTAAAAGTTATGCTTCATGATTTTCTGAAAATCATATACCTGTAAATAATAATGAAAGTTAATACTAAATTTATAAAAATGTTCACCAGTTGTAGGATTTGGACAAATATACAAACACACAAATGGTTATGTTCAGTTGATAACTAGATAAGATATTTTTAGAGCTTAGCTTATTTAGTATGGATTAAGAACTATGAAAAATACAAGTAATCAGGAAACTTGTAATAAACAGAATCTTAAATACTTGTTACATGTGTAGAAGTGGATTTTATAAAACTCAGTCCATGTGATATAAGGGACAACTACAAAAATAATAGTTGATATATATATATTCTTATTTAGAGAGTCTTTTATTTAAAGCAGCCATTTACTTTCTATCTTTAAATCATACAGGGTTAAACCCTAGCCTTCATCATATGTCTGATAATTCTTAATTTTTAATATCTGTTCTTTTTGTGCTCTTTTGTGCAATAAATTATCAATACAGAAAATTATTTGCAGTTAAGCAAAATAAGAGCTACATTTTGATAAAAAATTTCAAATACAGTATATATGTGAGTGGATTTATATTTGTTTTTAAATGTCTGAAGTATTTCTGAAACTATGTTTTTAAGATTTTCTCATGTAACAATAAATTTGTGTATTTTATTTTGTGTATGGTTAGAGCTGATAATGTATAGCAATATTTAATCAGTAATTTGAAGTAAATATACGTCAGCATAATGAAGACTATGAAAAATTAACAAATTTTGATTTTTGTGGTTTACCTAAACATTAATACCACTGTTAATGATATAAAAGTGTATTGCTGTTATTTGTGTACGTGTGTTTACTTAAACAGTTGTTTCTGGACAACTGATTCTTAGCACTATAAATGTAATAGTAATTATAATAAACCAGACATCAAAGTAATGCTCATGCTCGTCACTTCGTGTACTGCTATTACAGATGGAGAATAACTTCAAATATAAAAAGTCATAAGCTTTTACAAAGTTCTGAAAGTGTAGGAATTTTCAAGATTCAAAAAGATCTGCACTTACTTTTGAGTACATACTGTTGAAGTAAAAAATTAAACTGAAAATGACTAATTGAGGCTAGTTGAAGAATAACTGTTAATAAATGTTATTTGATAGAACCCTGTACTTTTCTCTTTAAATAGGATTTACACATATTTTCCAATTATGGCTAACCACAAAAGTAAAATTACATATTAAATTAAATAATTACTGTGTCAAATTTGATATATTTTTTTCATCATACTATAGAATTAACAGATTTATGGGCTGTGAGCACAGCCCAGCAGTTAAGTTGCTAGTTTAGGTTTTGTTAATTCCAAAAAAATAACATTGATCCATACTTTGGGACTGTGATTGCATAAGAGTAATTGTCAAATCCCACAAACTAGCAATATTTCTTCTTCTAACTAAAATGGAGGTTTTGCAAAGAAATTACTTTTTCAAAAACTATACAATGTTTATCCCATTGACTGCAGCTCCTCTGAAAGTGTGTGTGGAAGTTTTGCAAGCCGTATTTGTTCCCGGGCACACTTGCATTTAACTACCAGAGGTGGATTGTATACGGGGAGTTGGTAGTTAATGGGTTAATACTGTAAGATTCATTGAAATACTGAATTTCTAACAGCAATGTATCTTACTATAATATTAAACAAACCTTCACATTCATCAATAAGTGAAAAAATGAGAATGTCTACTGTTGGTCAAAAATACATGTGGTATAGAAAAGATGGGAGAGCCAAAAGAATTAGGGAATATAAGTAAATACAGAAAATCCCTAAATTTACAATGTATGCAAATTGAAGTAGGCATATGGCACATTACGTGACTCACCAGACTTACATGAGCTGTATAAAAGTTGTATTCAACAGCAATCATGGAAAAAGGGATTTCAAAAGACTTCTCAAGAAGCATGGTAAAGGGTGCATTTATAACTGGCTCATCCCTCAATGCAATGTCCATCGAGATAACCCTAGGTGTTTCTGACATGGCAACAGTTGTAGAAAATCACCTTCAAAAAAGTGTGATTCTACTTGTAAGTGGATTATGGCAGTTTAAGCCCCTAAACATGTGCAACATATTGTGACAACTAACAGACATTCTACAAAAGTCAAAATAAAAAAAATTGTAAACAGCAGACAAGTCATGACTGTTTCATTTGAACTGAGAGCTATGCAAAGCTTGGATAGCAGATCTACTGTGTGCAAACCCCTCATCAGTATAAATGACAAGAAAGTCTTGACCATTATAAATTGGTAATCAAACAGAGGAAGAATTTGTATGTAACAGATCTTCGAAGCTTTACGCCCCATATACATCATTCCTACAGCTCTGGTTGCCAGGGGTGGTGTGATGGTCTGGGAAATGGTTAGCTGGCTTAATTGTGGTCCCCTCATCCCACTGCAGGGCCAGGTAAGTACCAGAATCGCACAAGCAAACCATCTTATTATTAATGGCTTTCAGGGTGTCTTGTGTTATCCTGTTTTGACATTGTTAGATATGTCACCACAATTATGTTTGATAAAAACACTAGACAGAGTTAAATTTGACCTGAGAAAACTATTCAAAGATTGCTTTCACTACACTGTACAGCTGTATTTAATGCTCACAGTGGACACAAATATTCTGTGAGCTATATTTTGTACATCCCCTTCATCAATGGTGTTGTTGCAGACTTTCACAAACAAGGTGCAACATCACATTCCAGGGGATTGTTGGGAGAGTAGTTCCAGGTTCACATCTTAATGTGTGATGAATTTTGTAATGGAAAGACAAAACTTTTATTCTGTTCATAACTTGAGCTTTGTTAAAATGTGTACCAATAACAGGCCTGCAAATTTAAATTTCATAAAAGTTGTTTTGGTTTTAATAACCAATTTTCCATAATTCAGCTGAGCAGATTTTGAAAATAACTTTTTCCATCATGTAAGGATTTTTTACAAATTGGGAATAAAAAAAAACTTGGATCAAATTATTATTTCGTTTACCACAATAAACATTTTTATTATTATGTTTGGGTTCTAAAACGATCAGTAAGACTCGCATGGCGATTCGTTTATAGAAATCTATAGACAGTGGTTGTCAACATTTTAAGCATAACAAAATGTGACCTGATTTCAATGAAAATGATTCACTTATCTAAAAGTGCATATGACATTTTGTGAAAAATCTGTACGTGATGGAGAAAAATGAATATCATTTTTGGATTCAGCGTACAGGAATTACTATAGAACGTGTATAAATTTCAAGACAATAAAACTATCGCAGGCCTGTGTAATTTGTAGATCATTAATTTATTTTATCTATTATATATCTGTATTTATGGCAAAACTGCTAAAGCTAGTAGCTGCCATTCCTAATTTTGAACAATTTACCAGTGGGAAGGCAGCCAGTCAGAAACATCCCATTACCTGTACTGAGGAATTGACCATAACTATTAATGCACCCACAGATTAAGACACAGAATATTTTGTGATATCACATGGATTTGAAATTGGATTTAGAGCTCTACAACAGGGTCAACACACACATACATGTATATAAAGAATGATATATATTTCAAAATATTTATAAAAGTGGATTTCACAAAATATATCATAGATTTCTTTCTTTTTTTTTATTTCCCTACAGCTACTTGGCAACATAAAACAGCATATTAAAGCAGCCTGATTTCTCTAAAAAATTAGCAGTTAAAATATACTAAAATCTTCTGTCCCTTTGTCTTAAATATATGAAACATGCTTGTAGGATGTTATATTCCTTTTAAGTAATAAACTTTATAAACACAATATCTAATATACTTGTACTACCTTACTAATGTGTTAAAAACTACTAATACTACTCCATTTCTCAAAAATGTAATGGTACAATGTGCTTTAGCAGGGTACCTGTGGTTTGCTAGATCCAATAGGAGGTATTGGTAAGTTGCTACATTTCAAGTAATTATCTACTCCTTGTGGTCTTGACACCGGTGGATACACGATGAGCTGACAAGAGAGTGGGTCTGTAAATACACTCCACTTACTTAAATCTATGAATCCAATGATGTATCCATCTAAAGATCAAGATTTCAGTCTTCACAGTCGTTGCTTTGTCTATTCTATTGCATGGCTGCGACGCAAGGCCAACAGGTTCAGCAACTTCACAGTTTTTACCTGTGCTGTCATCTTCAGCTAAATAGAACTTAAAGACAGGATAGAATCCACAACACTGAGACAATCTCAAAAAGGAATAACTGGTATTAAGTCCTTTATAATTAAATCACACAGTAACATCAAGGTGCTCCTTGTAAATGTTTCAAAGACCAAACCAAATAAATGTGATACTGTGCTTGACAAGTTTGAAAGCATTGCAATAAACAAACACTAGTGGTGTCATACTTCTTCCTTAAGATTTGAACATTTTAAGACAAACTTGCAAACCTACCACAGAAAGATCTGCTCTGAAAAAATGGGTAAAGTTGCTAATGGCAGACTGTGCATATCTGTCCCACTTGGGGTCGATGCTGTGCCTCTCATGCTGAACTAGTTGCCCTTATATGAGAACTTTGGAAATATTGTTGCCAAGTGATGACATACCAACAATCCTTGTGCAAACTTTTCAGAAATTAATAGTTTGTTTTGAGTTTACTTACTGATTAATTATATTATGTTACAAGTTACAGCTTTTACAGTAAGATTTGTTTTTAGAACAGGTATGACACTTGAGAATGATCGCACAAGTGAATGGAACATCATACCTGTTCTAAAAACAAATCTTCAGAAATAAGTTTTAAAGCAGCAACCAAAATTATTTACTTTCACTCTTGGATAAAGTTTAGTCAATAACATATTATATAACTTAAACTTACAATTTTTTTTATATCAATGATTTCACATATATATTTTAATTAAACATTATGTTTCACCACCTGAGAGCTCAATCTCACTGAATAGCATACCATGAGAAACTATGTCCAATGCCCTTTACATGAATGCCAAGTGTAATAAAAGATGTTACCAGTACCCTATAAGAAATCAAGTAATATATAATACTGGTATATTCATCTTTATCAAACTTATCATCAGCTCTAAATGAAAAACAAATGGAGACTTAAATGTATTTAACAAAGTTTAAGAGTATGAAGTTTAGGGTACCATGCTGTATCATATTACCATGTTCATAAACAACTACAGTACAACAAACAATTTGCATTAATCAAATGTATTTATTACACCAGCTTTCTGGTATGTATTCACAGTGTCACTTACAAAGCACAGAATTAAACCTGATAGCATATAAACACAATTCTTCCAATATCTCAAATTGTAAAATCTATACCAGCATTTTATTTTCTAAATTTTCAAAGAATAAAATCAGAGTACTAGTACAATAATTCATCTTTCTTTCAAAAATTAAATGTTCTCTACTGATACAATGAAACATATTTCTAAATTAACATGTACCAAAATTTTTACATAGTTCTATAACGTGTTGCTTCCATATATATATATATACCTCAACTTAAAAATGTCCTGATTTTTATAATTAAATAATATCTAACAGCTTCCTTTAGTAATATCTATCGAACTTTAAAAGCTAACTTGTACCATACATAAATAGATCACAAACACTTGTATATGCCATTATATGGAATAGAAACAAACAGCTTAGAACTAGCTAAAGTAACCACTGAATATAATGTGTGTGTATCCATTTCAACAATCTATAATATGTTCTACACACTATGATGGAATGAGTTACAGTAACCTGAATATTTCTCTGTCAGCTAACCAAAAATTGTTACAAATTCTCTAGTTTTGCTGCACATTTAAGCACAGTTATAAAAAATATTATGACAAAGTTTATAATAACCCATTTTACTTGTATCATTTGAGATGCTTTTGATAAATTAAAACACTCAAAATCATAATGTCAATTTAGGCACCATATCTGAGAATGTTTAAAAGAATTAATTGCCCCTAGCAGTTATAACAATTACTTTAAATATAGATGTCCTATATGGCAGCAGTTCTCAACTGAGGACCAGCTAGTTCTGATCCCAAAATTTAATGGACCATTTCATTTAATACTCACTTGATAAAGTACTTTTAACTTATGTTGTAAAACAATGTACTTCAGTAGCTATATTTTAAAACATTTTGTGGACTAGCACCTGCCCAAGGACTGGCAATTGGGAATCCCTGCTTAAACAATACAAAATTCTTAACTGTTTTTTGTATTTTTTGATGAATTTTATTTTTTCTAAAAATTTTTTCATAGTTTAATTTAAAAAGTTATTACAGATTACTCGCATACAATTATGTATTTCTATAATGATTGTTTTTAATCAGAGCCTCTGACTCAATTACAACCAAATTAGAAAAATGTATATTAACAATATGGTGCAAATTCAAGTCCTTTATGTATAAAACATTTTTTCAGTATAAAGAAGTAAATTCTGAAAAATCTTTACAATCTTTGGTTTGTAATTTATGTCTCACAGTTAAAGGGTGACTATATTTTCTTTTGCCTTTTACATTTATTTTAAAAGATAATCTTTAAAATATAGTTACAAAGATCTAAAGTGAATTAAAATTTTCTTTCTTACAAATATTAATTTACTAATCATTGAAATTATTACACACACGCATGAATACACAAAAGAAATATTTATATGTATGTCATAATATACAGATAACATATTCATGTACAGACAGCATAACATTCAAACAAAAGTTTCATGTTACAGAAAAGAAAATAGTCAAAGTCACAGGCTTACTTATCACAAAGTTTATTCCATGTTTAAGAGATAGAATTACCTAAAGATAACAAGTCGAAACAAAAGTTCTACTATGTCCATATTAATATCAGCAGCTTGTTCTAACATTTAAAATACCATATGATATTGCAAGCCATGTATAGAGCATATTAAATAACATGTTTAGTGTTGTATTAAATACTACACATCAAACTACATTTAAATTTATTTACCCTGCAGCTAGACAATACGGACAATAGCAGCACAAGATACAAAGTTCATTATTTTGATGGCCATCACACTGAAATTTAAACTGGATAATAACTTTTCCTTCTCTAATCTGTCCAACACAAGTTAAAAGGAAAAACAGAGTTGTATGTATAAAAATATTGGGTTGGGGATAGAATTCAAAATTCCTTTAGTTTCATGGATCAACTACATCCATGTTTAAAATTATGAACTGTACCTCAAAAGCTTACCATTATGCACAATTATGGAATGTTCTATGCATTTTAATAATAAAAAAATCATTAATGTACATGTTACAGATTTAATATTATTAAAAAAACTTAAGACTGTACATATTTACTAAAAAACAGGTCAGTGGCACATGTCAGTAAAGCTCAACTAGAAAGATCCATCACAGTAATCTCACTTATAATTAGCTTAGCCTTTGATTATCAATCAATTCTAAGTAATACTAAAAGTTTTTAGTTTAAAATGTAATCTTAGGGCACGTACTCATTTTTTTTAATACAGTGACAAGCTATATTAATAATAACAAGTATTACACATAATTTATATCCTGAGAAGAAGGCTGTAGACAGTGAAGCATAGATTCAAATTTGGCTTCAGTGTCTATGAACTTCTTTTCATGACATAAATTGTTGCAACAAAAAATTATCGTGTTTATCTTAGAAATAAGTATAACCAAAATCTTGGTGTACCCATAATTAAATTAGTAATGCTGTCAATGTTAAAATGAAGACTTTTCTGCATGATACACATCACAAATATAAAATTAAGAAATAACCAAAAAGATTACTACTAAAAACCATAGAAGAAAAAAACTATTTTCAATTATCAAGAAAATATTCCTATGTTTAAACAAGTAATTGATATAGCTAAAAATGAATCCAATAGTTAAGATATTAACAGGTAAATAGGAAAACCTTGGTATTAAAAAATATACTACATCACAATAGAAGACTAGAATAATTATAATTATCATTCCACATGACAAAAAGGAAAAGAAAATTCAAGTTTTGAGTACACTGTTCTGTATGTATACTCAAAATAATCATATTACTCTTATTTAATCCTTTCTAGAAATATCAATCCTACTGGATATCGTGTGTTTTTTCATTCTTAATTAAAGAATTACAACATTGTTTTATTGAAAATGGAAATGGTTTAATTTACAGAAATCAGATTATCTCTGCTACTAATGAATACCAGTGCAACTAATTGATTAAAATATTATCAGCATTGTATGATTAATTTTACAAGTATAAGTAATATTATAAAAAAGTTTTGTTCATTTCATCAAATAAAAATTTGTATTTGTACTAAAAGAAGCTTATTTTCATTGCTGTTACAATTATATATACTAAATCTCTTCTTTTTTCACCTTTTTTGATGGAAGAAAATAAGTAATTTTTTTATAAAACACAGTAGCTATCTTAGTTAACATTAATGTTTCATTGCAATTGAGAAATGTATTTCAAAACAGTATATTGTTTATATTTCAATTTAGAGGCATAACTTTTCTAACAATAACCTATACGAGTCTAAAATGTATTAGTTGGAGCAAGCAGTATTGAACTGTCTTCAATTTTCTGTCCTATCAAACTAATCTAGATGTTTTAGACATTGAAGTAAATAATACAAAAAGTTTACTAATTTAAGCAAACTTTATAAAAGAATTATCATTTCAGGTTGCACCTCCATTACAGTGAAATCCAAAACCAACTGCTGACTGACCACGACATAAGACAGTACAACATACTTAGAGGTTATTACGATATAAAAAATAAATTATAGAAATGCATTACAATTCACTTTATACCTTCACATTCTCCTTATCTGTACCCAAAAAAAAGGCATAAATTTTGCAATTATAAATGTTGACAAAAATTATCACAAAACTTATGTTTATAATTTTCTAAGTTAAGATTGAAGAAAATACACTTTATAATATGAAGTAATATAAATTACCCATGTGAAGCTCCTTCTACCCTCAAAAAACAAACTTTTATTCACATATGTATATAGTTTGAATTAAACAACCAATTTTCTCCCTACATAGCTTCTAGTCACAACCTTGTGCTGAATTTTATTAAAAAGTACTAATTGATTCAAACCATTTAATACTTGGCTCTGACAAAGAATGAGCAACAAAGCACCTCATATGTGTCCTTTTATGAAAACAATTTAATGTTGATATATATATATCTATAACATGAAATTCCATTTAAAACAACATGACAATATTTATCTAGCCTTTTATACAACATACTGAGAAACAAACGAAACTGTAATTTAATAGTAAAGTTACACATGCAACTGCTACATTGAATATTTACTTTTTGATGGGTTCCAGTGAAACTCAATATGAAACAGAAGTGTTACTAATAATTTCAAGTTCACATAAATACAAGCTATATATTCTCATTTAAGAATGACAAATTTTATGGACTGATAACATTTTTCAGAAAATCCACTTTATCTTATAATTGCAACAAAACACTTATCCACCCAATATTCAAGAATTAGAGAAGCAAAACTAAAAAGGTCATTGATTGCTATAAAAACATCTTTAACTGAAATTAAAGATCTAAAAAAAAGAAAGAAAATGGAGCATGCATCATTTAATGGTTTGAATCTGTACTACATCACATAAAAAATGTTGGCTTAGATTAAATGTTCTTCAGTAAAAGCTGTAATTTGTTTAAATAAACTTAACTGTTCATCTATGACTTGTTGATAGAAAATGGAACTATGAGGAAGAATCTGAAGAACTATGGCTGACAATGTTGTCAATCAGAATATCAAGTAGATGATATACCAAGCACCTAAAAGTAAACAGGATTTAAAAATCATTCACTATAATAGTCAACTAATTATAAATATAAATTAAAACTTACTTATTTTAACATAAAGCTTTGGCTCAGCATAACCTTGAAATAAATAATGATTACCAAATTTCATCTCCTCTATCTATATTACAATATAGTAATAATGTAACCATAACCTGCCTTATTCCCAAATGGCATTTTTATTGATTAAAAAAACCAAAAACCATTACATTATTCTTGATTTCCAAAGTTATGTGAGATAATTATATACAAAAATTAGATATGGTTGAACATACAAATGTTGAATCCTTATTAACAGAATGCAATACTAAGAAACCATTTGTCTAATAGTATAGAATGTTAAGATATATGTCTCTGCATGTGATCATTTTATTTTTGATATGAAAACGTTTTTTACTAAATTAATTAGATTATTAACAAAACTCTGAAAGACATATAGCCTCATCTACTTCAAAAAGGAAGTAATAAGTTTTGTTTGATTATGTAATATCACCAATGAAAAATTTTGGCATGAAAGCAAAGTGTGATTGTTTGCACTATTATTAGTTGCAAAATTAACAGTTTACTTATTCTTATTCTTTTATTTTTGAAGTACACTTGAAATTTAATGCATTAATTATTTAAAATCTTGTCAATCTCACTTGATAAAATAGTTTTCATTTCAGTCACTTTAAAGATATGAACTTCTAAAACCATAATCCTTTGAATTATTTACATTAAACTATAACCTGTTTTCTGAGAGAATTTTCACCATTGCTTAATATTTTAGAATTGTTTTTTTGTTTTTACGTTCTTTATCTTCAATAAAATTGTATAATATTGGCAAAGCTAAATGTTTATAGTAGCATCAAAAATATGTTCCAGTAATTCTAACTTTAAGAATATTTTTCTGCAAATTGATTCAAGTAGCCAATGTCAAAAATTAAAGATTTGTACAAAATTATCTAGAAATTTGCCTAGTGAAAATAACAAGCACTATAAAATGTAAAAAAAAATCAGATTGATTTCAACCATCTCTTGTTGAAAAGCACTTTTTTTTTACTCCTTCAATATATCTTAAGTGCATTTAATTTTGATATTTATGAAAATTTAATCAACAACTCCACTGGATTAGAGTTATTCTATGAAAAAGTTTTATGCATTTACACTTGCACATTCAAACAAATCAAGTACTCTTGTTCTGCATCCACTACCAAGAGTTTACCTAAATGTATACTGATCATAACGAGTACACAAATTGCATCAACTCTGAGGACAAAATGTAACAAATATACTGAACTTAATGACAAATAAAGGAAAACAACTAAAAATAATTAATGTTCATAAAGCTAAAAACTAATTATAACAATAAATCAAAAACACTGAACTGTTAGCTTTTACATTTCAAGAGTCATCTCTTTATGGTCAGTTTTAAGTTATTTTTCATAACATAAGATACAGAAATGTTATTACTGTTCTAAATATATGAAAATTAGGTTATGAGATATTACATGAAACAAACAGCACTCATTTTTATTGAATAGTTTTGACACTGTTTGCTTTAAAACATTTCACATGCATAAATCTACAACAAATATGAATGCATCAGATAGTGATATGCCATGCTAAAGTTTTCTCAGGTTTAAGTACTGTTTTACTTTGATTATGCTATTTTTTATTCAAATCATTCATCAGACATTTTGAAATAACATAATACACACTGTAAATTATACTGAAGCACAGAAACTTTTACATGTACTTATATGTTAAATGTATGGAAATAAACAGATGAATTTATAAATATGTACACAGGTATTGACAACTGACAATTTTAGTAATCAGAATAAGTTAAATTTTTAATCACATAAACCTATAGTTTGACAAAATTTGGAACTTCTTAATATGCTTCACATTGATGCAGCAGCAATAACAGCCAGTCACTGCAGCTGGTCAAAAAATAAAAGGGTAAATACACTAGTCAATTTAATTTTATATATGCACAATAATATCTAAAAATTACTAGATTATTATCAGAACAAGGCACACAATAGCAAGAAAGAGGCCATTGAATATCAGCACTGTATTACAATTACCATATCTACCAGAAATAGAGAGAGTAACACACATTCTGCAACAATTAATGAAGGGTCAAACTTTGGTTTGCAGGAAAATTACTTTGAGAGAGAGATCACAAATATATTTTAATAAGGCAGACCTTCATCCAAAAATTAAGAAATGTAAGACAGGAGTAAACGATGTTTCCAAACAATATATAAGAAACATCATAGTGTTAGTAGATTTTATCATCACAGTTACCTATGCTACTTTCTTCCATAAATTGGATTTCAAAATATTTGCAAAGCAAATTTTAGAATTTTTACTTAACAAAGTTTAGTTGGCAGGCTCAACTTTCAGAGAAAATGTAAAGATTTTTGTGGGAATACAAATAACAAAAGTTACTTTTGAAAGCTGAATTTCATGCTTGTGGTTTGAGATAATATATATAGTCCATTACGTTTCTAATGTAACCTGTTCTTTGTACACTTTATAAATGGTTAATACCTGTAAAATGTGTTAAATATTTATGAAAACAATGGTAATGTTTTAAAATTATTGCATTAACATCCACAAAGACTACATTTATATTTCTGCTATTAATTTCTATAAACAGTGATGGATAGCTGAATGGGTTAAAAAAAGAAAAGCTAACATTATTTTACAAGTCATATTTCAAAATGAATTATATAACATAGATACATTCTGTGCTACTTATTTCATTAAATAAAATGCTTGTATTTGTAAATTTTCTCAGTGTTTTTGCCATGGGTGCCCATTGAGTACCTAATCAACAATACAATGTATTAAGCTAATTATACCTCCTACTTCTGTCCATATTTACTTCTAATTTTAATCTTAAGAACAAAGAAAAATCTATTATACACATAGTATCATCACAGAAATAAAAAAGCTGGAACTTAAAGTCAATTTTAACTACAGGCAGGCAAGTCAGGTGGAACTTAAAAAGTCTAGTCTGAATAATATTTTCAATAAGAAAAATAGATGGTAAAAACTTTAGAACAAGGTTCTCAACAATAAAGTTGTCAAAATACTTTTGTCAATATAAAAATGTTAGAGAATTCACAACTTAGATAAAAATAGCTTTGCTAAGAAGTATCTTTATTAAGACCTCAGCTAGAAAGTTTGAGCGACATTGTAAAATAAAGTATGGTTAGGAAAAGAATATCTCTGAAAATATTTCCAGGAAATATTTATAGCCTTTACACTGGAGCTCCAATATCCTGATGTGAAAAAATGGACAAAGTGAATATTATTTAGTAAAGAAGACAAAAATTGGTAGAGTGTAAAAACTGAAAGGGGGTATCAAAAACAGTTCATGACAAAGTTGATAATTACAAAACAATAACCAAATTATCCAAGTACAGGAAAAATCTTTCTGATCTAACTTAAAACTCAAATTTCACTATAACCTACCTCATACAATACCAGACATTCACTTAAATTTGAGTGTGCCCTAAAATGCACCTAGAACTTTTTAATATACAAGTGCTTATAATATGACATTAAAAAAAACTTCTGTTTGTTGTATAGTGTTTTTAACTCAACAGATAGTTTAATACAAAAAATAACAATATAAAATTTGATGTCAAACATTACAGCACCCATTTCCAAGTGAGTGAGCTATTGAAGTGGTGTGTATTTATATTTCAATTGATTCCAGTATCACATTCAGGAGAAGGTCATAAAATGCTTCCACTTCAGAGATCGTCGAGTTTTACAAATCAAGCTGGGTTAAATATCACATCATCCTGCACCAATCCAACTTTGCAGCCAAAAGTTCCACTTGTGACTATCAATAAAATACCCAAGAACTTTACCCTTCAACAGTCATTTGAATTTCATCTACAGAATAAACCAAACACATCCATTAAAGCTTCGAAGACAAGACTACTACATGGCAGAGGGATTCTTAACCAACACCTTGCAATCGATGACTTACATTACCTCTTTTCACCATGGAACTCAATTCTACTGGTGATATGCCAACAACCAAAAAGCAAGACCAAACATTTCTCTGTTATAAAAGTGGATACTTCAATCGTGATTGAGGATATCCACCAAGCCCTAGAAAACTCAACACAGTTCAAAATTAAAGCAGCACACAGGATCTAATCCAAAAAATCAGATCAGCTAAAAATTTCCTAAAGATAACCACCTCTTTCATGAAAAACTGCAGGATCATATTCTAACACATTGTTGTTTTTTCTATTTTTCACATTTCGGAGCCAAAAGACCCTACAGACGAACAGCACAACACAAGACTACTTCTCTTCCAACATGCTAGCAAGCAAGCAATCCACCAATGAACACTCACTCAAACACCACGACCAAGTACATGTAGACTAATGAAACCAGCCAGCCAGTCATAATAAACCAGAACATCCAAACAACAATTGAAGAAACTACACTAGTCCATGACCAAGAAACTCAAACAGAACCAGTTTAAGTCTCAGAAATAAAAATGATTACAGAAACCCCCAAGAAAAAGAACCAAAAGTCACACCAGCTGAAACAAAGTAAAAAACCTATTCAGACTTACCCGCCAATGATCCATATACCGGGAACAGCTATAAGACCATGCCAGCAAACATGATAAACCTATGCTTCCACTTTCCTTCAAACTGAGGAACAATGTTTTAACTCCACAGACTTCTACCCATCAGACTACGACAGACGCAAAGAATATTTTCAAGTTTTAGTTTCATAATTCTTATTAACTTAGCAAGATCCACTTACATTCACATGTATTTTCACCAATCATTTTTATCCATATTTCTAGGTATCCATCTCCGGCATTGATTGGCTAGATTATTCAATGCTCAACTAGTGAATTCTCAACAGAGAATACATATATTTCCATCGTCCTGACATAGGACCATTTGCTTGTTTCTCACTTCTAATGGCAAAGCCTGGATATTTGATACATCAACCTCACTAATACGAGTGGCTTTTGCTTTGATTTAAAGCTAAACACCTGCCATGAATAAAATTGAAAAAAATAAACCTCAACTCAAGTTACCATTTACGTCTGCCTCAATCTGCTAACAGAATCATGTTCAAGAGTTCATTACCATTATCCCACAATATAATCCACATCACTGGAATTTTTGACTATTTTTTTTCACGAAAGTATCTAATAATTCCATGAATGGGGAGAAGGAGAAATAATTATCATAATACTATAATATAATAATACTAAATATGATAAAATATAATGATGAATAAATAAAAAATATAATATTAGAATAATTATTACAGCATCATGGATGAGAAAAAAAATATATGTATGGTATAAAAGTGAATGTACAAGAACAAAGACCCAAAAAAATACAAAATTAGTTCTGTCCAAAAATGAGATTCTCTACCCCTCACCACTCCATAAATTGGACCTATATTTAGCTAAGAAGATATTTTAACATATTTAATATTTCATAAACTTTCCTCTATAAGTTTTACCAAACAAGAGCTAGCAGGGAAAAATCTAGACTTCAAGTTAAACCTATTTATTTAATTTACTTAATCCTTTCTACACAAGTCACTGAGTTACATTCAAAATTTAAATAAACAACTTTACTATCAATGCTCATCAATGAAATTAACATTATAATGTTATGTTATAATCTGAAGTTATGTTATCTAAATTTTCATTCCTTTGTTTCAAAAAAAAACCTTAAACATAACTTTTGTTGTCAAATGACCCACAAGCTCTGAAAAATCTCAAGTTATACACTTTCTTTCTTGAATGAAATAACCCCCAGTCCTGTAGATGTATGTCTACACAATAAGTACATTTACTTGCCCTACTGACACACAAGTTTCAAAGTTCTTTGGCTGAATCCAATAGAAATAAGTAATAAATTTTGCCAACCCTTGATGGGTGCCACACCCACCTTCTATATTAGCCTTGAGATTTACAAGCCACATGTAATTACTTGACACACACATGTTTATAATCATTAGAAAGAGTTCATTTTACATTATAATCCAACAGTAGTTATTTTGAAATTGGTGAGCAGCTGTCATCATCAGGTAAATGTAGCTGTCAACAGCATTGTTGGTTGCTTTATCCACGATAGTACTTATGGTTGTTACTTACCTAAATATGTTATAGTTAGAGAGACAGTTAAATTGTATTTAGTTTTCATTTCTATATTTTAGTTGATTATGTATTATTTATGTTTTAAAATTCATATTTGAAAGACTTAAGTTTTAAATTACCAAAACTTCACCTTGCTCCACAAAGCTTAAATTTCTAAACAAGTGTAAACAATTTTGTCAGAGGCTAAACCATCTCTGTTGATGATAATGTTATATTGCCTGTGGGCAACATGTTGATAAATGTCGACATAAATAATCAAAGATAAAGAACAGAAAATGAAAATAAAACATTAAAGTAAACTATAAGTGAAAAGGTAAAGACACAAAATTACACATATGATCCAAAGAAGATTATTCAATAAAAGATAAAAGGTATGTATACATTACCATTTCTTATTTTAAGCATTTCATTGCACTGTATGTTGATGATAATAGTTAGTGATATGGTAGAGAAAATGAAAAATAAACAATAAAAATTTACCTTAAAAACTTTTGATATTCATTAAAGAGGTTCTACAGATTATGCAAATGATATGTGAAAACTGTAATATAAAAAATTGTATTTTTATACTTAACATGAAAATCATCTTGCAGATGAACAATTCAGAGTCTGAGTGCAAATAACTACATTAAATATAACAAAGTTTTATTAGAAATAGTAGAAAAATCAAACTTAGATATTTTATTTTTCTTAAACTACATACTTTTAGGAACATTCTTGTTAAATTTCAAAGAATTTCATCAACTAGTTTTATTTTTGGAACCAAATATGAAGATAGTACACTAGATCATAACAATGCAAGTACCCTGTAATCATAGGATTAATTTCAGCAGTAGGAAATAATGTCACACACAGTGTCATCTGGTAAGCAATGAGATCATAAGGGTAAGTGAGGTAAATGTTGTACATTATACACATTAATCAAGGTTTGTAATTTGATGGAATGCTGTATGTATTATTGCCCCATAACTTTATACAGTTCAAATGAATAAAAATCATATCCTTCTCAGAACACATAGAAATACTGATCAGAATTTAAAATGTTCTGAGAGCAATGGCAAAAAGAAAGGATTAGAAGTGGGAAGGCAAAACTTGAGACCACGAGATCAATGCAACGAAAGAAGTTTTGATTATTGTCATTTTTCAATGTTTTTTAACGATTTTGAGCTATTTTTTGTTGGTTTTGGCCTATACTTTGGTGATTGGAGGCTATTTTTCTCTGTTATTTAACATTCTGTATACACTAATAATTTAGAATTAGTCAAATCAAGTAAAAAACAAAGCAGTTCATTTGAAGTACAAACACTGGTAATAATTCAGACATGTTAAACAAGTTTTCCTGAACTAAAGTGATTGACAATCAGCAACAAGGTAGTCAGTTAAACTATCAAACCTGTGATAATTTAATTTGGGACTTTTCTCTTGTATGCAATTTACGTGCCCTTCCAGAAAACACAAACATTTTATGTATTTTGCCCTGGCTGAGGTATTGCAGTTGCAACATACCAAGCACTTCATCCCTATAGTACCTATGAAACCTACTATGTTTCAGGAAACACAGCTTAGTATGAATTATGCTTTAGTAAGACAGTTTAATGATAGTAAAATCTAGGTTTCAGATATTAATAAAATCCATACTTTTAATTATAGACATTATTTATAATATTAGGGACATACTAAAGTATTCTATTTTTTACACTTTTGATGCTGTACAAAACAAATTACATTCATCTCACACACTAAATGCTGCTCTCTAGTAAGTACAGATAAAAAATTTTTACAACTGGCTATGGGTGAATTTAAAATAATCTTAGTAGCACAGAGGTATTCTTTCTGTTAATAACTGAATCTACATGTTCGTAGCACTAAGTACAGAAAAATGTGTTAGAACTCCTTTTCTACTCACTTATTTAGTCTTTCATTCTGCAGAGATCCTACCAACAAGGAAATACTTTCTTGGTACTGAGCTGAAGAAACTAGCACAGGGGAAAAAGCTGACAAAAAAAAATTCTTTCTCACACATGACTAAATCATAATGAGCATCAAAATCTTATGATCAAACATTATAAGAAAGTATTTACACAATAAAAATTATAAATAGTTTAGCATATGATGCTTTCAAATATCTCTTGAATGTTTTTCCTTGTTTACATCATTACACATTTAAAATTGTGAATAGCTTTTAAGCCAGGAGTGTGGAATTTAATGAACATATTTCAAATTGATACAAAACTGTTTCAAATAATATGTATTTTCCATAGCTTACTCACTTATTCCTTTTATGACCAGGTATTACCAGAACATTTAAAAAACATCAAAAAATTTGTATCTGATTGATTTATATTTTATTGACGAAAAGCTTTACAAATATATACACACCTATAAAGACATTGATGTGATACTGATTCAAATATTTTTATCATAATTCTATTTAGATTAATAAGTTGAATAGATTAGTAATATTCTTTTATAACTTTGCACCATAAGTTGGACACTACTTATCATACTAAAAAACTGGAATCATTAGCTTTTAAAGTTTCTTTCTGTGTAGTATGGTGCAATAGAAATAAATATACATTTACAGTAGCTTACCATAGTTTCTAATTTTTGTTAGTTTTTCTAACATTTGATACAAGCATGAGTATAAAACCTGAAATTAAAATTCTTGATTTATAACATAATATTAATATCTACTTCAATTGGTGCATTAAGTTTTTTGTTTCCCCAGTGAGAGTTAGATGTGCATATATTAGGTCATCAAGAAATGAATGTTGCTTTTTTTAGAGGAAAAAACCTGAACAACTTATACATCAAAACATTTATTAAATGAAATAGTATCTATTCTTATTGATGATGCTTTTCCATCTTACAATCAGGTTGCTAATGCCCTGATTAAAGAAATTACTTAGCTTTGAAGCAAAAACATGTCAATGTCCTCTTTAACATCTTCCACATTTGCATACGTTTTCCCATTAAGATGGTGTTGCAGTGGACAAAAAAGATGGTGCCATATCTGGGGAATATGGTGGGTGGGGAGAATGTCCCAACATAACTCCATTATCTTGTGTTGTGCCACATGTGAATTTGCATTGTCATGGAGAAGAACATCTTTCCAATTGACAAGTGAAAAAGAGCTTGATTTAAACTTTCCAATTGCTGACTATAGATCTCTGCATTGACAGTTCACTGTGGATTGAGGAGTTTGAAATGAATTACTCTTTTAATGTCCCACCAAATGCAAAGCATCACTTTCTGCAGGTGGAGTCCAGATTTTGGGGTCGGAAGTGGTTTTTGTCTGGGACTGGGCCATTGTTTTTGGCATTTAATATTCACAATGAGAATCCATTTTTCATCACTGGTGAAAACACTGTTCAAAAATAGTTCATGCGCATTACGTGCCAGAAGAGATGAAGCAATGTTCACACATTGCAAATGATAATCATCTGAGAGTTTGTGAAGCACCCAATCACCTTCTTTAAGAAGTTTTCCCATATTCCTTAGACGTTTAGATATTGTTTCATGAGAGACATGCAATTTCAGGGCCATTTCGTGAGTGTGTTGCCTTGGGTTGGACTCAACAAGCATCTTCAGAGCATCAATATCAATTCCAACATGTCTGCCCCTGCTATCAGTTTTTAAGGTTAAAGTCACCTGAATGAAATTTGTTGAATCATCGTTGGCACTTATGAATGTTCAAAACATTTCCATAAACTACTTTGATAGTCTTTGTGGCTACAGAAGAGTTGTTTCCCTTCTTGTATTCAAACAGCATTATATGCTGAATGCGTGTCTCATATTGTGCCATCACTATAAGGGATTAGAGTATACTAAACTTTACACATTATATAAGTTACACTAACGTGAAATTTTTAGGCAGTTTGTTTAACTATTATACAGACGTACATTTTTGGGGGGTGGTCAGTGAAAGTGTTCCAAAACGCGACATAAATTTCTTGATGACCCAATAAAATACGTATTACATTTCCATCAACTGAGTGGATAAAAAGATATTCACTATTATTTTCAACATTTCAAGCTTTTTTAAAATGATTAAAACATTTAAAGAAAAAATTCACAAAGAAATCACTTGAGCCATCTCATATGCTTAACAACACCGGATTTAAACCCTATAGTTTGCTTTCATGCTAACTATGAGATGTGAGTAAAAACACTGTCAGTCTTTTTAACAGGTACAATTATCTTTGAAGTATAAATGCATTAATATGTTTTTCAGTGTATTATGAGTTAATTTTTCTCCAATTTCAATTGAAGTTTTATTGAGTTCTTTCTTAATTTGCATAAAACTAATAATTGAAAATGGTTATAATTCATAAAATGTTTTTGTACCTTCAATCTTTATGCTTTTATATTTCACAAGTCAGAATTTTGTGGGTTAGAAAGGCTCTTTGCAAACACTTCAAAATAACAATCTGTATTTCTTTATTGTATGCCCCCACACTTCAAGCAAGTAAAACTGAAAAAAACTTATGAGTAATAAGGAAATGGAATTCTATCCTTGAAATTTAAAAGATCAATCATCTTATTTATGCATGATATACATAAATTTATTTCACTATAAATAATTTTCTTTGCACAAATTAACTCTTCACATCCAAGTCTGGTTCTTTTGTGCCTCAAGACTTTTTACAGTGTTACATTCAAAATTTGATTAAACAACTGTATTATCTAAGTTTTAAGTTCTTAATTTCAAATAGAAATATTTAAAAAAAAAATTCCATTTTCACTATTCTGTGTCGCATGGCACACCTGAACTCAGACTTCTTTTCATAATATTTTAAGAGTAAAAATAGGCTACTACAGCTTCCACCAATTACAAACAAAACTATACATAATTACACAAAATAATCAATTCTTTTTTGAACACCCAAATTAGTGAGTTATAAAAGAATATCGTCAATTTTTACTCAGGTGCAAACAGGCTCAAACTGTAAGCATACAAATCCTTGTTTTTATTTTATTCATTGTTATATTTCTTTAACAAAAGTAAATAAAATGTAAAAATTATAAACTCCTCAGCTTAGCTTAACGAAACTTTAGTAAAATAAAATATTGAAGTTTTCACAAGCTATTTTTGTGAGTAACATAACACATACAATCACTACTGTTTATGTTAGCTCTACAGAAAATACCACCATAACTTATTGCTTTTGATGCAAGGATTACTATGCCAGTTGGATATAAAGTACAGCAATAAAATCATAGGATCAAAAGAAAGCAGAGGTGAAAAGGTTTACAGAAGAAGCTGTTAAGCTAAGTACTTTGGAACATTCTGATCAATATTGCAGTCAGCATAGTGAAATAAATAGTATTCGTTTTATTTCATTTCAATTGACATTGATGATTTCACTACAGTTAGTGTTAGGGTACAAAAAATATGAGACAAATGTGAAATATTAAATCTGTTAAATGAAAAGAAGTATTTTTATTCTTAACATGAAAAGCATCTTTCACTCAGACAGACTAAGTAAAGGCTTCAAATATTCACAGACAAATCTGTACTAAAAATACTTTATTAACAAACCTGATTTTTGGTGTATAACAGATGTATAATGTTTACTAACAGCTTGCCAAATGTCATGAATTAAATTCAAAATTACAGTAAATACTATTATGCATAGTTTCACATATATGAGGTCAGTCAGTTTGGCTGGGCTCATGAAGAGATGATTAAGTGATCCTAGATCTTAACAAAGGCCAATAATATAGGTTATTCAGAGTACCCAAAAGGATAAAATGTTACAAAGTTTCACTTGTTCAACCATATAGTTACTTTTTCTAATAAACACTTACGCAGTATACTGTATGATGCATTGAATATTCCAGAGAAACAATAACAAAATGAATTGCTCTTAATAAAATATATTTATTAGTAATTAAAGAACAAAATAATGATAAGTTTATTTAAATATTATAATAAAATTTTCCCATCTTAGTTAACTTTTTAGCAATATTAAAATTCTACATTCATATTCATTCGTCTAACTTTTCATTTTCAGAAATGCCTTTAAAATAATAATTACTTGATATTAGAAATAAATGAAAATTTGTGAAAATTCATATATAACCAATATCCTTAACCACTGAGAAAATCTGAATATTTACAAATCAAAAGTTATAATTTTCCTACACTGAAAATGTATTTCTGATAGGTACTTATCTCCTTTCACATAAATAGCTATTCTCATTTAGGGTTGCCCTCTATATGGGAAAAAAAAATTTATGCATGCCATAAAACTTCTATCTCCCTTTCATTGCAATTGACTGATTCCAATGCATCTCTCAAGTAAATTATCATGCATCAACTCTCCACCAATACTCTCATGATGTATGTGACTCCCTCTATTTAATTCTACTAATCTATCACTTTGAGTTTTGGCAGAAGATGGAAGAACCAGTTTTCAGTGGGGAGGAAGGGTGGAAAGTGCGAGTGGAGAAGCACATCCAACTGGTTGAGAATCATGGTCAGAAAGTGATCCAAACCATGCAATATATATGAAACTCAATCTCAGAAATTATAAGTGGGTAAAATTAAAAGGATAAGCCTA